GAGCGGCTGCGAGCGCCCTGCCCCCCGCACGGTCCCCTCGCCAGCCTGCGGGGAGGCTCCGGGGATGCTGCAGCTGCTTCCCCTCCATCCCCCGCCGCTGCTCTGGGTGCCTCCCTCAGTCTGGCACGGGTCTCGGGTGTTCCCCTGGGTTTCACACGGGTCTCGGGTGTTCCCCGGGTGTTCCCCTCGGTTTCACACGGGTCTCGGGTGTTTCCCTGGGTTTTACACAGGTTTAGGGTTTTGCACACTTTCCGGGTGATTTCCCCGGGTTTTACACGATTTTAGGGTGTTTCCCCCGGTTTTGCACACTTTCAGGGTTCTTCCCTCAGTTTCACACGATTTTAGGATGTTTCCCTGGGTTTCACAAGATTTTAGAGTGTTTCCCTGGGTTTCACACGATTTTAGGCAACTTTCCAGCATCACAAGCAGAGTCTCCCCCCAAACCCCGCTGTAACCCCCCAACCCTTTCTCTGGGGGGGTTTTAACTGAGTCCCCCCTCCTGCAAGGAGGTGCCTCCTGCAACACCTGAATTAGGAGGGAAATATAAGGGGGTGCAGGCAATTCCTGATGAGGACAGTGTTAATTATTGATGCAGCAGCTCCTGAAAGCTTCCCCAGGCAAAAAAAAACTGGTTTTGAGCAAAGCAGCTCCTGCCTGCCAGGCTCCAGGAGCTGCCCTGCACAGAGGGGACGATAAGGAGAGTTATTGTTGCTCTGTGCTCATAAAAGGATTAGTATTAAGGAGGGGAAGAAAGTTATAAGTGAAGTAAATTGGGCCAGGCTGGGTGTTTGAATAGAGAGGAATAATGTTATGGTAATGTCATGCACGGCTCTGCTGCTCCAGGACCCTGACGTGTTTTATAAAAACCAATTCTGTGAGCACAGAGAGGGAGAGCTGGTCAAAGAGAAATGAGGAGAAGCTGTAAAAATGATGTTTTATTGTGTGGGAGAAAGCAATGAGTTGAGATCTAACCCTTGATGTCCTTCTGGAGGAGAAAGCTGGCAGCATATTGCCGCTCTCTTGTATGATTTAATTTGCTATTCTAAGTCTTACAGTAATTTCTTTCCTGTGCTCCAAAAGCTTGTATCTAAATTTCTGTTTGCAAATGAAAGACATGGAAGAACTCCCCAAGGCTTCAGTGCTGGATCTTTGCAGAGTGTGGACGGGGCTGCTGGCAGGATGGGGGCACCCAGCAGGATGGGCAGCACCTTTCACTGCCAGCTGGGTTTGATTTCAGTTTGACAACCCAAAACACCTGAACAGCAACCCGGGCTGGCTTCCCTGTACCGCACAGGGTAAGTGATGGATCCGGGCCACGGCACACTGTGACATAAATCAGACCTTTACGAGTCCCCAGCGGCTGCAAATCAATAAGTGCCA